GAAACACTGCAGGCCAGTCCTTCGCTGTTTCCAGGGTGGCCCTGTGAGCCAGATCGAAGTACCCCGTGGGCGAGATCTGGCCCCTGGGCCTTGAGTTTGACACCCTTGATGTAAGGCCAGCTTTCCATCTCTTAACATTTATTGAAAATTAGATGTTTTGGAAGCTGTGGGGTTTGCGTTTCCATTTTTCTTTCCAGGGACAATTTGCACATTCTACAACAGCAATGATATACATCATTGTGATACACATCAGAGATGAAACACCATGTCATTTTTGGTCACACAGCTTCATGTCCTGTTATTGCTTAGTTTTCTGAGCAAAAGTTTTCTGCAAAAGTCACAGTGGTGAATGTGGTGTGTTCTCACACAGCCTCTGGACCAAGGGTGAAATGCTACTGAAATGCTGAACCGGTAGTGATGGCGGCGGGTGGTTCAGAGAACCGGTAGCAATGGCAGCATGAGGCTCCACCCGGTTGTCGTTACTTCCTGGTTTTAACCAGGAAATAACCTGTTTTTTACCCTCTGCGCATGCACAGAAGGGTTTGCGCATGCGCAAAGAGTCCGTGCATGGACATGACGCACGTGCACTTTTGAACCGGTAGGGAAGATAAGTAGATTTCACCCCTGCTCTGGACCCTTTGAAAGTTGTGAGAGAGGACCTCCAAAAAGCATATTTGAATGAGGCATGCTTTCTGACTTTTTTCAGAGGCTGCAAGGCCACACAAGACCATTCTCTGAAGTTTCCAGAGTGAAGGCCTCATGTGACCAGGAGCTGTCTTGGCTAGGCATTTTTTTTTCCCCTGAGAGGTACATGGAACTGAGGCACGTTTTCATTTGACAAAGTATTATACTGTTTCAAAAAATAATGAACACTTCAGAAGTGTGGGCCAGGAAACTTGCTTCCTTTTCCAAGTTCTTAACAAACCAATGTTCTTTAAAACGTTTAATTGAAAATGAGGTCCACCATAGCTCAATGACTGGCACTTCTCTAAATGTTTTTAACAATGAAATTGGTGTAATAATGAATCTGTTTTTCTTCATTTTTATTTTTGTACTCGTATTTTATTTCTATAATTATTTGACATTTCTTTATGTGATGCATAACCCCACATATGGATGGACTGTATTTTTTATGAATATGTAAAGAATTGTTTCTCTTTTGTTGAGGAGGAGATATGACACACCCGCAGAGCCAATATTTATTTAGCGTACGGCATACAATGTCAGGAAAATCTACAAATGTGTTGTGACCTAGGCTTACTAAGTCATTACAATACACAATTAGTCCCAAACAAACCTATTTTATTGTAACAGCTGAGAATTACGTTCATTCCCAGCTGAGTCCCAATTAGTTGCAAAACAAGTCCTTCGGACGAAGTCCTTCAGGATAATCACCAACCTTTATCTTTTTTGACACCCTGACAAAGGCCTTACTTGGCAAACCCCCACAAAGTTCAGAAACAAACAAGAGATGCTGACTGGAGACAGAGTTAGCAATGTTGCTTTCCTGCAAAAGACCCAAGTGCTTTTGTTTCTCTTTTAAGCCTTATGGGAGGGGCCAATCATCTCCTGGCCTTACTCCCAAGTCGTCCCTTTTGCTTTAGCTGCTCTTGTCTTCTGGCAGCTCTGCGCATGCATGCACTAGGAACAGGCTCCTCCTGTTCCTCTGCATCTCTGGTGTCTGACTCTGGGGATTCCGGTGTCCGTGCATCACTCCCAGATGGCCCTGGCCCCATCTCTGCCTCCGACCCAGAGCCCTCAACCAGGCCTTCCCCAGACTCCAGGTCTGGCCCATGTTCCTCCCCAGCCTCCTCATTGTCCGACTCCGCTGCCAGCTCCGCAGGCTGCTGGTGGACCACAACAAAATGCTAGACACAATGAGTCCTGACAGCTAGATTGCTAGTTCATTCTGTTCAGTACTTGAATGCCTATCCTTGATGCACCACAGAGGGCAAACTAGCTTACACCAGCTGACTAGTAGCACTCGGGTTGCTGGCTCCTCCGCAAATTTCACCTCACTTCGCCTCATGTTGTGTTGCCTCATGTCCAGTCAGGTCCAGTGCTGACTTCCATTTTCCACACACATGAATGCAGCCAGGTTCAACGCAGAGCCAATTAGGCATTTTCTGAATTTTTGCCAAAAAGTTCACCATGGGACCAAAAGTGTCCCAAAGATGCTTTTTCAAGTGGCAACTGGACTTTCTGGTTTTTCTTTGTGAGAGCTGAAGAAGCTTCTTCGATAAGAAGCGAAACATCTTCAAAGTCCAGTTGCCTCTTGAAAAAACACCTTTGGGACACCTGGATGACTGAGAATCTCCAAAGGCGTCCACCATTACTGTTTCAGAATGAAGCACAGAGATGAATTTGTTACTCTGTATTTTAAATTGTGCCAGACATGTCTAAAATTTTGCTTCGGCTGCCTTCAGAAAACTGCATAAATATGACATACAGATTAAGTTGGAAAAAGGGTTGGTGCTCTAAGTGGAAACATAAGAGCCACACATTCACAATGGCTGGAAATTATAAATGGATCATAATTATTAGTTAGGCAGTTATTGCCAGCACAAAACTGTGATACAGGGTAGTAAGGACTCTACAAAAATAATGTATTGATGGGGCTATCTCTGGAAAGAAAAGCAAGTTAGCGGACTATAGATCTCAGTCAAAGAATATTGAAAGTCACAAGATTAAGAGCTGTGCTCAGCTCACTATTACATTTTGAATTTCTTTTCATTTTAAATGAAACTAGGTGCAATTTAGAAGTGGTTTAATGTGAAAACCCTTCAAATCTCTTTAACTGACATGTCAGCTCAAAAAAAGCCAGTGCAATCTTATTGTAGTGTGTAATGCAGTCCACTATTTGCATCAGCCGTTCCCAACACATTTCTGGATAGATTGAACTGTCTCCCATATTGGTTAGTAATGATGCGTTCAATTGATCAGAACTGATGTATTTACACTGTGCGTTTAGGAACTGGGCTTAGAAGCCACACCAACCAACCAAAATTGGCTTGATGGACCATGTGAACTCAACAGCATCAGCGGGTTATGTGTGTCTCTCAAAACTGGCAAGTGTTAGACAGAACATTGTAATCCAAGTCCCAAACTTTTTGAATCTTTTTGCAATGGTGACAAGCTGAAACAGTACTTGCATCACAATGCGCCAGCCATCTTTGGGTGTTGATTTCGATCCCCTGACTGTGTGAACCCCAAGTTATTGTGGCTTGTAGAACATATTCAAGGGCTTAATGTGTTGTATGAAGGGAACCAATTATGGCCTGGTCAACCACTCAAGGGAATAAGATTTGACTAATATCAGGAGACCTAGAAATATTCTACCCATGTTTAATAGAATGAATTTGTAATGAGATTCTGTTTTCCTTATTTGTAATTTGAATGAGGTATGAAAGAAAAAGTTTTCCAAAGGAAGCAAATTGTAGCATAACAAAATGATATAAAGCACCATTTCAGACTGGTATAGTTCTCTGCCTTCTACCCCACTGAAGAACTAGCGAGTTATACTGGGTAATACATCCTTTCAGAAGCTCAGTAAGTTGTCCTTTCTCTGTGGCATTTTTGATAGGCTCAAGAGAGCTTTTTGTGAAAGATTCATAAAGCAAACCTGGAGTAATTCTTCAGATCTAGCATGTGGCTATGACACACAATGGTGTATAATGAAAACGAACACAGCATTAACAGCATTAACGCACTCCATTGTAAATAATGTCAACCAACTCAAAAATCTTTGCCAATGGGAATTGTTAATGAAGCATTGTTTGTAGCCTGATGAACAATCTGAGAAAGTCCCAAATCATGCATAATGTACAAAACAAACAAACAAATAAGAAAGCTTCCCAAGACGACATTTGAATGTGATCTAATCTTTGAAGCAGTTTATGATGAGATATGAATTGACACATTTTTGGACTGGGTTCTTTCTCCTCAAATCTAGTGGATATGGAAGAGGACTTTATCTAAAGAAAGAAAAGAAGGTGGCAAAACTGTATAGAGAAATCTCCAGTTTGGACGATTGTTTTTTTTTAAAAAAATACTTCAATACAGGCAGTCCTCGATTTACAACCACAATTGAGCCCAAACTTTCTGTTATTAAGTGAGACATTTGTAAAATGAGTTTTGCCCCATTTAATGACCTTTCTTGTCACAGTTGTTAAGTGAATCACTGAAGTTGTTCAGTTAGTAACCCGGTTGTTAAGTGAATCTGGCTTCCCCCTTTGACTTTGCTTGTCAGATCTCAAAAACGGATCACATGACCCTGGGACACTGCAACGGTCATAAGCATGAACCAGTTGCCCAGCATCTGAATTTTTATCACATGACCGCAGGGATGCTGCAAAGCTTGTAATTGTGACAAATGGTCATAGGTCACTTTATTCAGTCCCGTTGTAACTTTGAACAGTCACTGAGTGAACTGATTTAAGTCGAGGACTATCTGTACTTCATCTTAAAAGAGGTTCCAGAGCTTCTGAAGACTCTGGTTTCCTTTTTCAGAAAAATAAAGAACTCACCATCAGATGAAAGAAAACTAGACTTAAATGAAAATAATTCCTTCTCCTTCTTCCTTTTTTTCCTTGGGAGGAGAGTTTGGGTGCTGAAAAATCAATTTTGAAGCCTAACCTGTCCATAAAAGCAGCCATGTCATCAGCAAAACATCTGAAGGGAGGTCTAATTTAATTTTGTGCCAAATGAAGGCGCTTCTGTTGTTTACACTTTAGGTACAATGAGGTGAGGTATTTGTGCACAAGAAGAAAGGAACAGAGCTGAGTTGACACTCTCCAAAGCAGCTCCCAAGAGACAAAAACCTGGCTGAAATCCAGAGTTGTGTCCCATCACACAATAGCAGCTGAAATTTCATTTAAGTTTCAGGGGCAGACGCTGCTGGGCAATAGTCAAAGTGAATAGAACTCCATAAGGCTTAGCGTGTGGATGCTAGAGATTATTACCTAGCAACCATACATTAAGCCACCACTAGACTAATGGATGCTTCGGCATGTGTTCTCCAGCTGGCAGATGTAGCAGTATAAGCATAACTGAACTGAATAGACAGAGGAAAAAGTGATTGGTATGTTCTGTAGTTTAATCTGAGGACCAGCGAGACTCAAGAAATGGCTGTTGGGCTTGTGGGATTAGAGATTTTGGTTAAAATTGCAGCCACAAGATGGATGCTGGCAGCGTTTGCTCAGAACCCAAAAGAAATAGGAAGAGCAAATTGCCACTTTAGAATTATAGTTTGATGTACAAATCAGGTTATGAAATATAACATAAAATAAATCCAAACACATGTAGTCCTAGACTTGCAACCACAATTAAGCCCCAAATGTTTGTTGCTAAGTGAAACATTTGTTAAGTGAATTTTGTCCCATTTTACAACCTTTTGTGCCACAGTTAACTGAATCATTGCAACTGTTAAGTTAGTATCATGATTGTTAAGTAAATCTGGCCTCACTATTGACTTTGCTTGTCAGAAGGTCACAAAAGATGATCACATGACCCCAGGACATTGCAACAATCATAAATATGTGTCAGTTGCCAAGCATCCAAATTTTGATCATTTAACTAGGGGGATAATACAAAAGTTGTAAGTGTGAAAAATGGACATGGTAATCCAAATACTCGTATCTAGTCCACTCTCAACCATTGAAACTGTCTTTAGGCCAGTCCGACCTCCCTCACAAGATCCTTTATCTGAGGAAAAATAGGAGAAGGGAGTCCTATGTACTCTTCCAATGAAATTTTATCAGCAAAAGTATAATTTCTAAACTGCAGGAAATATATTTTTATGTTGTGTTGGCTAAACCCCATATCAAATAACAACATATCAAAATGTTGTTTTGTATACCATATTTTAAAAAAACATTCAGGTAAACTGGAACAGGATCGGGATCAGAAAAAGGCAATGAGGATGAACATAGTGTTAGAAACTACATCTATTTCTTCATTAGTATTTTCCAACCTCACCCAATCATATTTGTCTCACTTTAACAATAAAGGCAGCAAGCTTTATATCATCTCGACAATGGCTGGATGACTATAAATTATTATAAGTGAGGAAATGGCCTAACTGTTAGGAAAGGATATTGAAGGAAATAAGGATCTTTAGCCTTGTGAAGAGAAGACTGTGGAGACTATGACAGAACAAAATCAAGATTAGTTCTCCATCTCTCTAGAATATAGGGGACAGAATAATGGATTTCAATTATGGGAAGGCAAGTTGTGGATGAATCCTAAACAAAGTTAAGTGTGTTCAAGTAGAGTCTAGACAGGGAATGTTTTAATTAGGATCCTTGCACTGTAAAGGCAGTTGGAGTCCATGGCTTAAACGACCCATTCAACTTTATGATTGTGTAGCAAATGATTTAGCCCATATTACAAATTGTACATTCATTAGGTTAATTAATTTGGCATATGATCAACACCTCAGAAGGGAGGAAACAACTCTTCCTCCTCCACCTCCTACTCTTCCTTCTCTCCCTCCTCAAGACAATGCAGCAATTCTAAAGTAACAATTTTAGCCATCACTGATTTTTGTTGGTTTTTTTTTTTTTAAGGAGAGCCCATCTTTCATGTTTCTGTCTGTGTTACAATAATACATCAAAGCCAAATCAGCTTAATAATATGCACTTAACGTTAATGAGAACTGGCACTGGAGCTGTGGTTGACCTTCTACTGATTAAGCTTGCTTCAATAGCAGCTAGGGCTTTGAAAAGGTTTAAAAGAGAGCTTTGATTCAAGGAAGTGTCTATCGAATCACCCCACCGAAGGAGATTTGGGAATCAAAGTGGAGATTGCTTTGGAGACAATGAACTGAATCATGCAACTGCGAGTGGCTTTACATATCCACTGGGTTTTTTTCTGTTGTTTCTGAAATGATTAGACAATACAGAATGCTGCACCCTTGCTTCTATATATGGATAATCCTGAGGAGAAGAGTTGAATAGCAGTCTGTTGGCAGGGAAGCTTGCCACAAGTTACGCAACCCCTTCTAGTATTCCACAAAACCCAGTGAACCCAACACAGCAGTCCCATTCCCCAAGGGAGGGGTTTTTATTCAGGGCTGTGTCAAACCTGGGACTCCAGAAAAATAAGCTGAAAAATAAGAGCTTACTTTTAAATCATCTTTAAATGTTTTTACTGTTAAATTGGAAAATGATTTTTTTTTTCTGAATAGTTTCCATCAGTACTGGTTCCATCTGCAAAACTGATTTTTCTGCTGGACAATCTTAATTAAGCCACTCTGGTGACTTCTAGACATTAATCCTTTGAATAAGTTTGTTTCTCCTCTGGACCATGTCAGTTTGGCCATTCCAAGGGATGGAGGTGTGTGTGTGTGTGTGTGTGTTTAAAAAGTCCATCTATTGAACCAGTTGAGATTAACTAGTAATTGAAAACTGCTGGTGGCCAGAGTGACATGATCTAAACAAGTAATGGTCTGAAGGCATTTCATGTCTGTGACAATCTATGTTTTATATACACCTAAATCAATTTAGAACCTTTGCAGAATACTTTTAATACTCTTTGAATTCTATGCTATCCAGTTTTTTAAAAATATGGTCATGGGAGATATTGCAAAACTATTCATACTGAACCCCTTGAAGAAAACAGACATCCTTGCTATTTCCATCTCTTTTGTCAAAAATACAAAGCAGCTTTTCCATTATAGTGCATGGATGTATCCGTTTTTTTTTAAAAAAAAAAATCTGATCTTGAAATGGCTCAGATTGAAAAAAGTTTGCCCTCCAAGTTTGAATCATGGCTTTTTCAAATCTCAAAGCATTAATTCAGGGGTCAATTCTCTTAGGTCTATTAGCAGTTATAATCAAATGGGAGGCCTTCCTTTGCAGAACCCTGGATTGATCCATTCAGTCTTAGAGTTGACTGATGGTTGACATACTTAATCTGAAAGCTGGTTGAGTGGAAAGCTATCCCTTTTAAAAATACACAAATAACACTTTTCCTTGTAGGAAATTGATGGCTTCTGGTGAAAAATGCTAACGCCTTCATTACAGCAAATAGAGGCTGTGTACACACTTGTAGCATTTGAGCCGTGAGGCACTGGGGAAGTATGTTCTCCAGATTTTTGGGGATTGAGAAATCTTCCTGATGAATAACAATAGCACTTAGACTTTATATACTGCTTCATAGTACTTTCCAGCCTTCTCTAAGCAGTTTACAGAATCAGCATATTGCCCCCAAACAATCTGGGTCCTCATTTTACCAACCTTGGAAGGATGGAAGGCTGAATCAACCTTGATTGAACTCCAGGCTGTGGGCAGAGTTAGCCTGCAATATTACATTCTAACCACTGGGCCACCATGGCTCAGAGTAAACTGGTTTTCTGTCTCTGCAAATTACAGCAATTTATAGCGCTGCCAAATTGAAAATTGTGTCCTCACTAACCCTCCAATCCAAACAGTTTTTCAGTGTATTTGAATGATGGGTGGGTAGATTGATCCAATCATTTAAATATGCAAAGAATATTCAATATTGTGTAAATTTTAGAGTGGGACCCAATCTGATGCATGAAGAGAAAAGCCGGGGGTTAATCTACATTGGTTTTAAGGAACTATATTCTATAAAACGTTGTTTTGTTTTTTGCTGCCAGTTTTTGGGCTCTTTGGATTTATCCTATTTTTTTTTTTACAACATGTATAAGCGAGAGCAGGTGAATTATTTTACAAATAAATAAAGTATATATGCATTATAAAGGCGTCCCCAAGCTTCTGTAAGTTGTTAACAAGCAAATAATGAGGAGATTATTAACAGTCCTTAAATCTTACCCAGAGGTAAGAGTGTTGCAAAAATCCTGGAAATTTGGGGAGGAGGAGTTAGCATTTGTATCTCCATACTAACTATGCAGGCCGATGTGAGCAAAATATTCAACAGCGTTTACAATCAAAGTGCATTTCAAACCGGGATCCTTGATTTATAGCACTAAATTCTGCTGTATTCTACCTGCTTACCTGAGATAAGAGCCCCTGAAGTGAGAAACCAAGAGAGAAAGATAATGTAATTTTGACTTAAAGGATGCGTATTAATTTTCTTTCCCATGCTCATCCTTCATGTAAGCTCAGACAATAAGAAATCTAAACCTGAAAAAAGATTTTTTTTCCCCCTAGTGTGCTTTCCTCCAAAGCAAATTTTTTGCCTCACAAAAAACAATTGTGAAAACCCAGAATGGAGGCAAAAAAATGTTCTTCTGGCTGCTTTTCAACTCATATCATCTGGTTTATCTGCTGTTCAAGCGGCTAGTTTGAGATGATTTGGGGGCTGATTCCAGAAGAGAAAGTTCATACGCGGGTGAACCACAACTTGAGCAGGGAACAATGACTTGCTAATAATGGGCTCCTTCCCATGCTGCCTGTCATGCCCATAGCTGCTTAATTCCCAGAGATTGCAGGTCAACCAGACAACAGCTCTTTGCCCCAAATGTCACTGAGAAGGAATAATAAGGCAATGCCTTCTGCACCGCAGCAGCCTGTATCTCCTCTCAGGGCTTTGAGGCCTCCTCGTCTCTTGGGTTAGTTTAATTGTTCTAAATGGGCGGTCATTAGCACGAGGCATTAATTGCTTTTATCTTGACTGGTGCTGGAGCTGAAACAACCCTGAGAACCGATTTTAATAAGCCCTTTTTCCATAACTGTAGGCAGTTTTGCATGAAGCGCTCGTCCTTTAAATACAGGCTGAATTAGCACAGCTACTGTTTAGAAATGTAAGGCAACATGATTTTTTTTAAAAAAAAACCAACATATTAAAAGTTTTGTTGCCTGTCCCTATCTGAGAGTTAACTTGTTGCAACAGTTGGGTATGCGCCAGTGTCGAAGGCTGAAAAATTATTTGGCAAGTAGGAACGGACACTCAGAATCTTTTCCACTTATAACCCTAAGATATTTATTTATTTAGTTATTTATTCACTTGCTTGCTTGCAGATGTAGCGTCCTTCCAGTACTGCCTAAGCTGCACACAGGGCAAGCAGCTTCCTTTCAATTGCGGTTCTTGTTCAAACAGATCTGGCTGTCCAGCTTTGTCTTAGTCTGCAGGAAACTCTTCTTAGTTCCTGGAATTTTGAAATACATATATAGGAAAATGCCTCATACAGGTAAGTCTCGATTAGTGCTGATTGTGAATCCCCCAAAATGGTCCTATTATTCAGATGCATACAATCTGAAGTGCTGTTTCTATGGAAAATAGGGTAATTGGTTCCTGTCTGATGGAAACTAAAAATGAAGCATTTGAAACATAATTTTTCTGGGTATCGATGAAATATAACATTAAAAGAATATACTTGAAACTTAAATTCATTTTTTTTAAAGTCATAGGATAGTTAAGAAAAGCAAAATTAAGACAAAAAAAATATTTTAAATATCATTCCTATCCAGAAGATAAATATCTAGACAGATCTACCTAGAAAATAGAAAGGAATGGTATTGGTTTTTTAAAAAAATTGTTTTGTTTTAATTTTGCTTCCTGAAACTACTCCGTGACTTTGTTTAAAAGAAATCTTCTAGATAGACAGCAATTGTGCTTGTGCTGTCCTCAACTGATTGCGTGCTAGCCTTGCAATAACTGAATTTCGTCTCACATTAAACTTGAGTTTATTATAATTCACACTAAATCCAATATCGCATGATTCAAGCTCTCGCTAATCTGACCTCCTTGTATTCGGGTGGGTCATTGATCCATTTGGCATCATTTTATATACACACACTCACCTACCCACAATCAGAATAAATATATTAAACATCAAACAAGATGATGAACCTGGCCCACAACATAATCATGTGTCACACGCCCAACAGTACCTGCAACGCAAGCACTCTGAGTCTGAGTTACAGACTCTGCCTTGAGCTACAGTAAGTACTTCCTTTGAACTAGTGCCTTATTTGTTATGCTTTTAAGCAAAATCTAGGACATAATATTCATGTTTTTGCTGTGATTATGGTATTATATATTGTATTGTAAAAAAAAAACCCAAAATAAATCTAACTAACAGGTTTGTGTAGCAATTTTTAAAAAGTTAAACAGTACACTTTGTCAGTCAAATGGAAAGCAGTAGCACACAGATATGCATAGACCTCAGTCCTGTGATTAAATAAGTGTTTTTCCAATTTGGCACCTTTGGACTTCAACTTCCAGAATTTCCCAGCTAGCCACTTTTAAATGAAAGCAATGAGGCAGTCAGGTGGGCCTTTCTGGGGATACCGTAGTATCCCCAAACAAGGGGACCATAGAAGCACACATGCTCCATTTTCAAGAGTAGCTCATCATAGTTCATAAAACAAGAATATTTGAAGCAATATATGTCTAGGTCTAGGAGATACTCTCAATCTAAATCAAATAAGGCTTTAAAGGTTGAGAGGTAGAAATGTACTGGTCCCTGTTAGTCATTTAGGCTCTGTATTTTGAAATAGTTAGTCCACCTAACATCAATAACAATAATAAAAACAATATAAATTTACCATAGGCATTGTAATTTTGGCCAGACAATCTTCCCAGGGAGGATGCAAATGGCAGATCAACCTCATTGGATGGAATTCATTTCATTCCATCCATTCTTCTTAAACTTCATGTAGTAATGGTGGATCTTCTAAGATTGAAGTCCTCTTCAGGTATATTTGAATGCTAACTCCTTAGGTAATCAAACTGCCCACCAAGGTCATCTCTGTCTTTACAAGCTGAAATATCATTTACTGGACTTTTATCCAGCCAGTGATTTTTTTTTCCTTGCATCATTTGGAAAAAGCAAATTGAAGGATTATTGCATTATTTATCAATAAACAATTTCAAACACTTTGATCTCATTCAATGGCTTCATGTAAATGTTGAATGGTCTAATACGTCCAAATGAATATTCAAGGGAGATAATAAATGTAATGGAACAGAAATAAAGTCACCAAATACCATCTTCTGAACTCAGATCTCTGGATAAAATAGATCCAAGGAAAGGTGCTACCTGCACACCTCTATCTTAAAAAAAATATCATAGTCAGCATGACAACAGCAATACAGGTAGTCCTCAACTTATGACCACAATTGAGCCCAAAATTTCTATTGCTAAGTGAGACAGTTGTTAAGTGAGTTTTGTCCCATTTTACCACCTTTCTTGCACAATTGTTAAGTAAATCGCTGCAGTTATTAAGTTGGTAACATGGTTGTTAAGTGAATCTGGCTTCCCCATTGACTTTGCTTATCAAAAGGTTGGAAAAGGAGGTGACATGACCTTGGGACACTACAACCATCATAAATATGAGTGAGTTGCCAAGTGTCTGAATTTTGATCACATGACCATGGGAATGCTGCAATAGTCATAAATGTCATTGGTATTGCACCCACCCGTGGCTGGGGTAGATCCCCCTGGATTTTTTGCATTGGATCTTCAGGCCTGCCACATTTAGTGCAGTAGTGGGTTGCTACCGGTTTGCCCTAGCTTGGGCGAACAGGTAGCGACAGCGACGGGAGATATGCTCATCAGCCCGGACACTTCTGTGCATGGGCGCGCACCCACGAGCAAACCAGTAGCGACGGGTTTTGAAACCCGCCCCTAATTTAGTGCTGTGGGAAACTGGGAGGGGGGATTGTATGGAACAGGGGAGATATATAGTCATAATAACATTCCTTTCTCTGAGAGTCAAGGACATCCTACCCTGCACCTGGAGTGGTGTGACTGGAAGGCATCTCCACTTGGGACGATGCATTGATTGGGCCATGTGATGGACATGTGGGTGCTGGGCAGGGACTTGAACTTTCCTATGGATGGGGAAAACCTGGAACCTTTCAAATTTGGGTTTTCCTAGATGTGCCAATATGACATCACTAATAAAATGGAATTTTGAGGAACTTCCAGCCTCGGAGTCTTTTTTCGTTGAGGGTGTTACTTGGAACCCTGACATTAAGTCTGAAAAATAGTCATAAGTCACTTTTTTCAGTGCCGTTGTAACTTTGAACTGTCTCTAAATGAACTCTGGAAGTCAAGGACTGTCTGTAATAACATTAACAGCATAATTTTTCAGAGAAATATTCGGAAACTTCCTATGCTAGTCAACTTTCAGCATAGTTTAGAGGCTCATTATTATTGAATGTACACATAAAGCTACCAGTTTCAATCTGGTCACATTAAATCAAAGGCAAAACTGCTTGAAACTCTAGAGTATTGGCTAATGTTAATCGTAACAAGCCTAATGAATCCAAGGTATGACTGTGAATAATGCAACTTCTTATGTTCCCAGTTTCTAGGAACACACACTCTCCCTGAGAGACACTTAAAGGTTCTGCTGGAATCCTTGAGGCCACTATGCAGATAAAAGAGAATAATCCTGAAGAAAGAATGCCAGTGAGAATGCAGGCTGGTTTTTCAGCAGTCCAAACAAATAGTGTGGAAAGGAAGTTGAAAAGAAACCAGCGGGCAAAGTTTGCTTCTCATCCATTTTTAGCATTCAGTTAAATCACTATTTGGAAGCCAAAAATCTCTTGAAAGTGGAGGGACACAAAGAACAGGAAACCCACAGCTTGTTCAACCAAGCTCTGTTATCTAGAACGTCCTTGATGTTTTCCCCAACTTCAATGTTTTTGTTCAGTTGCACTCTATGCTCTCTGAGATTGAAAAAAAAAACATGTAAAGAAAAACTTAAACGAAATTTTGCTTAGAACCCCAGCAAATTCATAATAGTGAAGGCTATTCTTTTCTTTCAATAAAGCTGGTTCAGTCCTATCATTGTAGGACATCCATTTTTCCTCAGTACACTTTGCTACAAAGAGTTGTTTCTACAAGTTGTGAAAGAACAATGGAATGTGATGTGTAAAAACCTGGTGGTCCATTAGTAAATAATATTTCTTACCAACATATAAGATAAGTTGTTATCTAGTTATTAAATATAGCTAAATGCTAAGGCTTTACTAAAAGGTTTCAATAACCTTCACTTCCTGTTTAGTGGCATGGAAATCTAGTGAATTATATTTTTTCTTCACCTCTAAATTCTAATTGGATAGTAACCAATTGTGGAGACCAGCCAATGGATAGCAAAGGTCTTTGAATGTGGAAATAACATTTAAGCAAGATGCTCTGTGAATCAATCCAACCACTGCTGCAGAAATGTGAAATCTTTCCACTAGCTTGTACTGGATTTTACAGAAGCTTGATCAGCAAATTGTTTTTCAATCAGAATTCTCAGATGGACATTCCCACTTGGATCAAACCATAGCACAAACATGTCCTACAAACTTCCTCCCTCGCTCCCTCCCTCCCTCCCTTCCTTCCTATAATAATGTTGCTTTCCTTTTATCCATGACACATGAATAAGATACACTTAAGTCATACTTTTAATAATGTAGTATCTTCTTTCTTATTCCAACACCAAAGGCAACCTCAAATGGTTTTAACTTGACTAGGTTTTCACTCCCAAGTTCTCAGAGGAAGTGAGACGATTGGATTGACTAATCGCAACAGAGGCAAGATAGTGATCAGCCGGGGGGGGGCAGCAATTTTTCATGCTGGTAGTTTTCTGTCAAGTCATGGATGGGTAGTACTTCAACTCACCAGTGAGGAAAGGTGTAGAGTAGCTTACTAGATGAAACAGAAAAGTACCTACAATGTTCATCATTGACAAAAATGCATGATCACAGGCCCTTAAATTCCCACATGAATTGAACGAAACACTAAAAGCCCTATGAATGATTTTCAATTAACAGCAAAAGCAAAATAAAGAAATTGCTAGGAAAAACATCTCTAGGTGGAGAATTCTGCAAGAAGAAAAACGCATTACTGAAAGTCATGCAGCTATCATGATTACTGCTTTATTTTCCACAAATTGGTATCAACTCCTTTTAAAGAGGAGGGAGTCAACCTTTTTTCCAAAGCGCCTGAAGGCCAGACAAGGAATAATGGATGGAAGCTGACCAAGGAGAGATTCAGCCTAGAAATAAGGAGAAATTTTCTGACAGTGAGAACGATCAACCAATGGAACAGCTTGCCTTCAGAAATTCTGGGAGCTTCATCACTGGAAGCTTTCAAGAAGAGACTGGACTGGCAATTGTCAAAAATAATGTAGGGTCTCCTGCTTGGGCTGGGGAAGGGGGTTGGACTAGATGACCTACAATATCCCTTCCAATTCTGTTAATCCGTTAAAGCATCCATGGTGGCAATAACCTCTATCTTTTATGGTAGCATGTTCCACAATTTAATGATGTATTGAGGAGTATTATTGAAGTCACATGTCCTTGCAGGCATCCCATAAGAATGCAGCTATAACCTAAATACAATTACATAAAGAGTGCCCATTTGGTATCGTGGTCAAAGTGTCAGGCAAGAAACTGGGTGACTGGGAGTTCAAGTCCTGCATTAGGCACAAAGCCAGCTGGGTGACTTTGGGCCAGTTCCTCTTTCTCAGCCCTGGGAAGGAAACAATGGCAAACCACTTCAGAAATTTTGCCAAGAAAACTGCTGGGGTTTGCCCAAGCGGACATCAGATCCAGCGCTGACTTTAAAAGACAACAACTATCCTATTACACAAATAATAAGCCGTTTAATAACATAAATAACAATCCTTGTTAAAAACAATACAAAAAGAGCCTTGGTAGTACTGTGGTCTAAGGCACCCTGTTATTAAGCTGGTTATTAAGACCAGCTGCCTGCAATTACTGCAGGTTCTAATCTCGCCAAGGCTCAAGGTTGACTCAGCCTTCCATCCTTTCTAAGGTAGGTAAATTGAGGACCCAGTTGTGGGGGCAATAAGCTGACTTTGTATAAATATACAAAAGGATGAAGGCTATTGCTGAGCACATTGTAAGCCGCCCTGAGTCTCCGGAGAAGGGCGGCATATAAATCAAATTTTAAAAAAAATACAGTTGAGTAATAATAACTGATCAAAGTTATTTGATCTGAGGATGGGCTCCAGCAGGAGTTCGAAAGCTCAGAGGACTAAACCTTTGGTCCCCGTGACTGACCCAGAATTCAGACTGAATTCTGAATGAAGTCTTCCTTATTGCAATTACTATTCAACAAAATTTAGCCATCTTCTTCAGTATTTCAGGAGAGTGGTCTACTAAAAGGAAATAAACATTTTCCTCATCCATCTGATAAGGTTAGCCAGCTAACAGGGCCTGTATTAGTGTAGAGCACCAAGACTGATATCTGAAACAACGCAACAAGACACATGGAACTGACTCTATTGATCCTTCCAAAGAGGAACAGAGACAATCACGCAGAGGGATGTTATTATACCTGCCCTTAGAAACATAGATGGCGCAGCCTTAACTCTAGCTTGGAGAAAAGCTATTCTGTTCAGAACAAACACCATATTAATAAAATAATTGGCTAGCAGATAGAGCCCTTTGTGCAAATGACTTATTATATTAGCAAGTAATACTTGAGTCTCCCTGTAGACCACAACCAGGCACCCTGTTTTATCTCCACTAATGCTTTGTTATATTTTGGTTGGAGCAAAAATGGAATGAGTAACCAAAGCAATTTGAGTGAGTGAGTGAGTGTGTGTGGGTAGGTGGGTGGGTGGGTGGGTGTGATTCCCTCCCCCCAAAAAAATATGTTCATAAGAATTAGAATTCTGTCCTTGTCAGCATCTTAATCTTACACTTATCACTATAGGATGGAGACTTGTTTCCAAATTCAGAGGAGATTTTGGGTCACTGCAAAGAACAGAAAGCATTGTTATTATAAGTTTAATACAGACCAACTTTCATGCTCCTCAGCTCTTATTCAGACAAAATGGTTTACATAATACACAATCACCATTCATAATTTATGGAAGACATGGTTAAGGGCCACTTTTTGAAGTGGCTTTTTAGAACTTACTTTAGACATACAATTTTCCAGCCAGAGGATGGCAGGTTGGAGAAAGCTGGGGAAAAGAATTATTTTATGAGGTTAATATGGAGAATCTCTTCCCTTTGATGAGGGCAGTAGATGGTAAAAGTGAATGGTTGCACTATGCTTTCTCTTTCATGCATTACCTTCTCTCTCTCTTTTTTTTTTTTTACACACTCTCTCCTTTTTCTTCACACAGTATATTGCTAGGGAAGGGATACATTATCTGAATTAATGATTTGCAAGAGGGGCTTGAATTAGATGACGATGTCTTGCAATTAGACCAAAGGCGGTATGCAATTTTAAGGGCTGCAAAATTGCCCAGCCCTGTTTCAAGTATATTAACGGCTATAACCTGATAGCTAAATCCAGCTTTTTTTTTTTTTTAAACTGGCACTGGGCAAAATCAATAAAAGAAAGTTAAAGTCTAAATGAAACTGGTCTTGCCCTACGTGGCAGCTGGTCTAAATGAAACTGGTCCAGCAACACAATCCTTAAATCCTATGCTTCAAGTTAAGCAGAAGGCAGCTTGGTCATTGGGATTCTTCCCTAGTTGATTTTACACACTAACTGATAAAAGCTCTCCTGAATGAAAGCCTCATAGTACATACAGTATAGTCCCACTGCTTAATTCTTCTCTATTTTAAGGGTTAGTGATCCACTGACAGGGAAAGACCTATATTACCACTGTTGATATCAGCGTTTAGAACACTGCCTGTAACGTTGAAGAGTTAGATGAAAAACAGGATTAAAGGAATCAATTGAGCAGGTGTGTTAGGAATCTGGCAGAAAGGCTTGGTTTGAATCCAGTGCCACTGAGCTGGTCTGAAAGTCTTCTGTGTTGCTCTGCAGATGGCTAGAGTTACAGAGTGTGACAGGAGAAGGGTAAAGAAAATCAGGATCAAAAACAGGAACTATTGGGTCACTAGGACATTCTTTCAACATCCAGCATCCTGATAAAGCTGGCATCTGCAAACAACTGATCAATCAAGGAATATCTGTTTCAGTAAATTAACCCAATGTTAGTGAAAAATAAGTAAGGATTTGATATGTTAGAAACATTTAACTAGGAATTAATGTATGTCTTCCTTCCTTCCTTCCTTCCTTCCTTCCTTCCTTCCTTCCTTCCAACTTACTTACTTACTTACTTACTTACTTACTTACTTACTCACTCACTCATTTTCCTCCAAAGATCTTAGGGCAAAGGAAGTATGTGTAATTGCTTTCATCTTTTCATCTCTTTAACTATTCTAAGATTCATGACTGATCTGATATTTGAACTCAGGTCTCCTGTATATCCTGCCATCTGTAACTAATTAACAGAGGCTGTACAGGGCTACTTAGACCCTCTAGACTGTCTCATTACTCTGGCATTATGATTTATCTTCTTCCTAACCTGTTCTAGGATCTTCCTTGGTTTGGAATTAGATCAGACTTTCGTTCCTGCTCCCCTTTTTGAAGAATGGGGTGACCTTGGCAGATTGCCTCTTCTTTGATTCTCAAGAATTTCTCAGTCACTCCAGGGGCTCTGCAAATGCAGCTGCAAGTTCATTTAATTCTGTGTAAGTCCTAACCTCAACCCTGAAGGCTTAGACTCACTTAATGTCTTGTTTTAGCACTCTTTTGTTATTGCTGGGTTTTTTTTTTACTTTTCCAACATAAGGGCCTTTGATGTCTTTGGGTTGATGTCTTTGGGTTGATGTCTTTGGGTTGATCCATGCTGCTTGCCCCAGTATAGATTCTGGTCATCTACCTTTTGGGGAAGCAATGACAGCATCCTCTTCAGCCCATCCCTGGGAGAGGCAGCCTCCACAAAATTTCCTTGCACCACATCAAATGTAGTATTCTCCCTCCACCCCCAGTCTCAGTGGTGTAAGTGGGGAAATCCAGTC